TGGAACAAGGTGAAGGAGATACTGGACCCTTTAATGACCACACTACTCTGATCTTCAAACATGTTGTCACAAACATTGGAAATGCCTACAACAAAAACACAGGTAATAACACTGAATGTCACTTCTCAGCTATGTTGATGTCAGGCTGATGTTCCAGATGTTCTAACAGCTGATTTTCCATTTAACAAAAACAAATGTCCCACAGGTATTTTACCTGTGGGACTACCACTTTGAGTGGCACATAGGTGCACATGGAGATGCTTCACATGCTGTATATGCTCTGTTGTTTAAAAATGGAGAGCGTATATTCACAGCATATGAAGTCCAGCCGTCCCATTATGTAACCACCTCTAATGGAGCCTCTCTGCTGCTGCAGGTTGGAGATCAGGTGCTTTTGCATCTCGCTACTAACGCGAAAATCTACGACAATCAAAATCATCTTTCCACCTTCAGCGGTCATCTGATTTTCACCATGTGAGACCGAAGCACTTCCTCATGTTGTTTTTGCTCAGCTGTTTGAGAATTATGTGTTAAGTGCATTCATGTCATTGATGGTAAATGTAAACCACCTGTCTTCTGTTTTTAAACCATTCACATTTTTAGATAAAGGCGATGATACAGTGTAACAGTTTGCAGTCATATTTCTACCAAAATAATAATTTTTTTTTCTTTTTTTTGTTTGTGTCATGGTTCTGGGTCATTCGAACTCCATTCTGAGTTTATGATGTTTTGTTCTGGTTTCTTTGTAATCTTTTTCTTGTCTATCATTTAGTTTATAGTCATGTTTTTTCCTGCTAAGTTGATTATACTCCCGGCCCGTGTGTTCTTGTCCCTGTGTCGTGTAGTTGTGTCTCTATCCTGTTTACATGTTCTCATGCTTGTGCTTCATTCTGTGGCTCCTCCGTCTGTGTTGTGCTTTCATGTGTGTTCTCCCAAGCCCGTCATGTGCCCCTCTCCCTCTCTCTCTGTATCATCTCCGTTAACTGTTTCCACATTCCCCTCTCCTGGAAAACTACTCCCATTGTCTCCCAAGCCCAGCTCCTATGTCAAGTTGTGTGAATTAGTCTGGATCTCAGTGTTTCCTGTTTTACTTTGAAAGTGTCACGTCCTGTGTGCATTGTGTTTAGTTTTGCTTCCTGTGTAGTTAGGTATATTCGCCTCAGGTGTGTTCCCAGGTGTTCATTGTCAGGTCGTCTGATTGTCTCCCCGTGTTCCTGGTCTGAAGTTTTTCCCACGTTCTTTGTGTTTTGATCTTAGTTTATTTTCATCTGTCTCCTCTTTTGCCCTTTTTTTGAATGTTTTTTCCTGGCCTCAATAAACTGCTTGTTTTTCTGTTAAACCCGTTACCAGCCTCGAGCGGCTGTGTTTGGGTCTGCTTAATTAATGAGTTCTGCCCTTTGACACTCTGTTTGTATTTATTAAAGAATAATTGAAAGACATCTGTGGAGTTTTCCTGTTTGTATTTGTTTCAGATATGGACATCACCACAAAACGGTGATGTAACACATCCTAAGTACAGATATTATACTCAGATCAAAGTAATGTAAACAGAGATCTTT